TATAGTAAATGTCACAAAATAATAAAACGTAATCAACCATCTGTAAAACCCGATTATCCGCTTACAAAAATACCAATATCTAAATCGGATATGCAGAACATTGTCAAAATAACCTTTAGGCAAACGAAAACTGAAGTCTGCCAACACAAGCAATGACAGTTATAAATGAAATTCAAAACGGAATATGACCACGCTCTACGCAGTTTAATATACTAAACTAAAAAAATCAAATTTACTTAAGAGCTGTAAGAATTGCACTATATTTATAATTTCTAAAGACACATCAATACTAGCTAGAACACTGTGCGCAACTGAGACCTGATAGAATCGCTATAATTATAGGCAGCAGATAAGATAACGTCAGTTCAATAACTCAACTCGTATCGCAGACAAGTATGTAACGAATACCACAAATATTATACTCTAAAGGCGGAGTCCCAGTGATTTCGTCCCGAGTGAGCATATTGTATGTTAATTGTGTTTTTATGTATGGTGTACACGTTTACCGGAGATACTATGTATTTTAGGCAACAAGTGTGATTCACCTTGCATATAAGTATTGAATTTCCAAAGGGAAGCACTGTGTCAAGGACATATTATTTTACATGCGTCTATGTAAATTTTGAAACATGTATACAATACCGGTTTGTACGTACATTTCGTAATGATAGCTAACAACGAGAGTGATCTAGACTCATTAAACAAAATTATTGTAATTTTATTGTGTGCTGCAATTGATTCGGTAAAATTGCTTAAGTGTGGCGGTACAATGAAGAAAAGTGCTAGTCCACACAAGCGAGCGTAAAGATATAACACTACCGGAAGAAAGGCTTTCAAATAAAATCACAACTAATGAGATTATTAAGTAAAACAATAAGCTTGTAAGGTATCGCCGAAGACAACACAGTGGAGGAATAGTCTTATTCACCAAGTAGTTTCATTGTACGCATTTTATCGCATATCAGATGGGCGTAAAATGTAAATGTTTGTACGCGGAGCGAGTTAAGAAACTTGTTACAGTTTTATATCAAACAGAGAACTATTATCTATATAGCCAACGAATAGACAACTAGAACGTAGCCACCCAGGTACGTAAACGGTCTTGGGTCAACACCCTGCTAGATATTTGAACAGGACCACAATAATTAAGACATCACTTCCTTTAACTTACTGGGAAAAGAGCATTTTAAACGAAGAAAAAAAAGTTTATGGTAATGCTAGGTGTCAAACAATTTACAACAGTTTGCGGTTAAGTCAGAGAGAAAGTACGTGCATATAAATGCAGGGTATATAGCTGCAATTTTCATGAAATAGAGCAAATCAGAAATTACAAAATTATTATCGAGTACAGCAAGACGAGGAGTGGTACAGGTGGTGTGAATAATATTTGCGGTAACGACATAACAATAACTACGTGACCTTCAAATGGTTACAATGGCTGACGAAGCGCGAGGTTTGTAACAATACGAATATATCTAAAGATATGTTAATTAGACGAACTGTGTAACTCACATTAACCAAGCATGAGATAAAGCAGTAGTTGAATAATGATTAATATCACCTAATTATACTGTCCACACAAAATAACATCCGCTACTTCAAGACTTGACGAAACAAAGAAATCAACGAAATATTTGAAATATTCGAACAATTTGATACCCTTCAACACAAGTCACGATAGCTAATCTTCTTCCCAATAAGGTTTTGTTCCGTTCTGAGTCACGCACTTTACTCACAACTTGTTATTATTTCCTTGCGTAATCACAAAAATGATAACAAAATTTACGTGTGAACAATAAATACACGTCGAAATAAGAAATTAGAGGAGAAAGTTAATAATTACGAATATTATTGATAGAATTCAGTGCAAACCCAACCCGTGTAAGGGAAACACTGAAGGGTTTCGAGTTAGCCGAACGAAATGGCACGCGGAGTGCGGAGATAAGCTGATAACGTAGCGATAGCAAGTTTGTACAACAATGAGAATGAGCGCGAGTAATACATTGCCTAGTCTACAGCAGCAGGCACATTGAAAATTCGTCCAATCAATTTTTTGTTCAATCGATTCGAGTGTGAAGCACTGGGTCGTGCGAGAACGTGAGCTCCATAACATAACGTCGCTATGTAAACATATTTTTTGCGATAGTTCGAAATAAAGTTTGAAAGTCACGCACGTAAGCTGCATTTCTCACACAAACTTAAGGCAATAGGCCTTTTGTGCGAAGTGACGCGAGAGTGACGGCCGGGTTCCGTTCAATCCCAACTCGTGATCGTGAGACGACCAAATGTGGTCACGAACGCGTAAAATAATGTCGCAACCCACCACTATCTTACAGGTAGAGCGTGCACTACCAATATTACAGTGCACAAATAACTGTCTCCTTACTGCTAAACGTCACGAAAGAGATATCCTTAACACGATATAAAACAATTAACACTTACCATCAGGAATATCATCCGATCGTCGTTCCTCGTCATCAGTCTTCAATTCTTCCTGTTGCTCCCGTTTCTTTATGGCCTGCAAGAGAATAAACATTTCAAAATACTGCCATCACACAAGCACGAGAAAAATCGGCATGCAATTTAAAAATCCGGGCTAACAAAATCTCGAGCTACATCGGTCACAGCCAGTAAAAAATGTTTAGAATGTCACGATATACTACATAGTAAATGGTAATTTGTATCATGATACACAAGCGAGGCAAGCCAAACAAAATACAGTTGAATCTAAATTGAAATCATGGTCGAATGTCTCTTTATCTTGCATAGGCATCTCACCCGAGCGAGCCATCCTCCTGCCGCTTTCAAGCACCTCATTTTAATAAATGCTGATAAAGAGCACTTTGAAAACTGGACGACGTGTATTACAGATTTATTTAACACGACACTAATACTAAGAAAGCGGCACTTCACTTATCGATTAATCGCGGTACAAAAAGCATTGTTACGGGAGGAGCGCGAGCGGTGCAAGTCTGACATTTCTGCGAGGCACGCGGAGGGTCTACGCGAACGTCGTGGTCGAGGGCCCGCGTGCACCAGCCCGGAACAGACGGAGTATTCCAACAATTACCCACGGTTTGGTCGTGCCGACTGAATCTCTACCATTCGTCAGGAGATTTACAACGGATTTACAAACTTCACGCGGTTTTTTCGAAATCCACCAACGCTTGCATAGCACAAACCATGATACCATGATCTCTACTGCGTGTAGTCACAACAAAGGACGATATGAAACTACCTAAAGACCATAAAGAGGTGCGAACACAGGCCTATCGTTGTATGGCAATATTCACAGGCTGTGTGCGATGTGAAGCAGATCTCACGACTCTATTGTTTCTGCTATTCAAACAGCGAACAAGAAATTTCGATGCGGACTGCGCGTCAGCTTTTACCCTTTCGCGTGATATAGATACCATCGTGATGAATAGCGTCTGATGAATATCTTAGTTTATTTTCATTTTCTATGTTTAATTACTGTATTGTACCTGAAATAATTATTCGTTTTGTTTGTAATTTTAGCTTTATCTTTCCTAGCAGTTGCGATGAACAAAATTGGTTATAGAGAGAGAAAAGTAGTAATTATTTTATAAATAACGAGTTTCCACCACCACTAATGACGGTTATTTAATTACACTCAAAACCACAACCTGTGTAAGCCTTGTTACCTGAAGGCTGTGAGATATTTGTTACACGTTTCGGAGTCAAAACAAGGCAACGAGGATGTGACAGTGGTACAAATAACAGGAAATAATTCCGGACACAAACTGACATTTACAGAAATGGAGGAGCGAGATAGTACAATGTGAAAGCTCTGTTCACGTTTATACTTAGCAAATGTAGGGAGAAAATAAATGAACGAAGACATGTAATATGCTTACGGAAACAACAATCAATGCTACTTTAATAACCAACTCTTAACAAGCAGCCTATAACACAATTAATCATGCAAGACTAGAATGAATGAATGAAAATCGATAATTCATAATATAATTTATTATGGAATAAAAATACTTATGCAGCTTTCTTTTACATGTTTATAATGATAATAATGACAGCAACCGATTGATGACTTTATTAATAATATAGAATAGAACAAGTACAACAAGGAAGAAACGGCACCAAAACCACTACTTCCTAAATGGATACCAGACGTACACAACTAGATTAATGTTACTTTGCATTCTTCACAAAATTGTATGATTATAGACAATATTATCAGAGGTCAAAGTATTTTACATTCAAACAAAGAATATTAATTAAAATGAGAAACTCAAACGTTTTTGTAATAAACACTAGTTTGTCCAATAATAAAACAAAGATATCAGTTGACAAACAAATAAGTTTACTGTCCTAAATGCACGACTTTTAGTAATGATTAAAAGTACTAAATAAAAAAAAAAGTCCCGGAACATGAATACGACACAATAATTAAATTTTCTATAAGGTGTAAATGTGTGACATTAATAAAAGTCAAGAGAGAGCAAGGCTGCGTCTTTTGTTTTATGAGGAGGTTAGGCGATGACATTGACTTTCTCGTCCATTCTGAGTGACACATCGACGCGGGCGCATGCGTGACCTGTGAACTTTGCGGACTTTGCGGAAATAATACCCATCAATGAAGAGTGGAGCCATTATCACATATTTAATTGATGCCACGTGTAAAATTTACGGTTTACATGCGCTACAATATAAATATACATCCGCATAACGTCGGTTTTAATAGAAAGGGAGAAAGTGCAATTGCGAAAAATTTTTCAGGGGAGCATGTTTTAGGTTTTAATGGCTGTTTTAAAATATTTAAATTGTTTTAGAATTCAATTTTGGTTTTAATTAAGTTTCAGTTTCAAAATCGAATTTAAAACAGGACGTAAATACTTTAAAACAGACATGAAAAACTAAAACAAATTCCCCTGAAAAATCTTTTGAAGTGGCACTTTCGTCCTTACTACCACACCGACGTTATGAAAAAGTATGTGAAAACAAGAGGCATACAACATAGTGACATAAAAATATAATTGTAATTATATTATACCTATACCTACTAATTACAGAGGTGCGAGACCTCCTGATACAAGTAGTGTCATACTTAAGAGAACGTTCCATATCACGACAACGAAATGAAATATTTTATTTATTTTATATGAAATTAATTAGGCGTTAAACAATGATACAACAAGTATTAACGTTTAGCTTGTCAATCAAATTTTATTTTTGTCAGATTAGCGGAAAACTCGATACTGGCGAAATCCAAAACTGGCACCGCAAACAAGCAAAAAGAAGAAGAAAATATGTATAAAAATAATGTAAGTTTTTTACATTTTATTTATTTATTATTTTAATACATTATAAGTTCCCCAATTGTTGGGGGTGCGATATTACATTACACATTGTAGAAATTAATGTACTCATTTAACTTGAAGCTATTGGCTCAAGTATGGAAATATCAATTCCAACTTAGATCACAGAGAGCGTGACGTCATTTAATAATAATTGTAAAGATTGCAAAGTAACAACAGTGAAAACACTATTAAATGACTCATTGTCAATAGTGATAAAATGCCAAAACACGTCATTTTGGTAACAGAATATGCATGATTTCAAATTTACAAAACTTTATATTGTAAAGAGTCGAGAGTATTTGCAGACTTTTCGAATCTCATATTGACCTTTAATTTACAGTTACCAAAATGCCAATTTCACCTTACTGACAAATAATGTACCCAAATGCTACTGCACTAGACAGCTACAAGGTTACAGGTAAGTAAATGTAAGTATAGTGACAATCATGCATGCGGGTGCGGCACCTGGGCGATGAGATCCCTGGCGCGACCGGCGTCGATCTGGTTGATTCTCTTGTTCTTGAGGTGGTGCGGCGTATCGCGGCGGTGTAGGCGTCCTCCCGCCCCCGCCCCCGTTGCCCCGCCGCGCTCAGCCACCCCCGCACGCCACACCACGCGTCGCGCCCCTCCCTCCCCGCCGCTACCCCGCTACCCGCACCATAAGCGTTAGCCAACAATTCCCAAGTGCAATAGTGCACTGATCAATCATCCCATACGTATTGCAACGACCCCCGCAGTTCACTAATGTTAGAGATAAGATCAATTAACTTGCATAGTAGGTAATTAAGTTTCATTTGTGACTGTACGGTTGTATTGATGTGTGCATTATTATAACATAATCTTCTTGGAAAACCCAACCCGAATAATATTTTTGAGCCTACTTGAAAGTGATGGAAGAACAAATTTATACTATTTGATTTACTTATTTACAAAATGAGAAATAATACAAAATAACGATACCAAAAAAAAAAAACAGAAGTTTAATACTGCAAGTAAACTCAAATGACGGATAAAATGTATTAGAATCAATTTCTAAACGCCTCCAAACTTAGCCATACAGAAATGAAAATAATTACCTAACTTGTTACTTTATTAAATTTCTATGTTATGTTTCCGTGAAGTTATAACAATCACTATATTACACAGACTACTGTATTGATTTATTAAAAGTGTTCATTCAAACATAGTTTTATGTTCATCATTTGCATCGACTAAATGAAAAGCACCGTTTTCTCTAATAATAATAAAGCATTTGAGAGTAGTTGTATTTAAGTACCTGCATTTAAAACAGAAATATTTCATGTTTATTGCAAACGATGCACTTAAAACCGTGCCATTAATTTAAACATACCCCTATAATAACTAAAACCAAAATCTCGAGGAAAATACTTTGTCGCATTTCATATCGATCGTTTAATAAGCTTTCCATACAATAACTCTAATTGTGACGCCAAAAAACCGATTCCTATCATAATTCAGAACACCAGCATTAGATATAGCTGGTTTGTGAATTCCATTGACTTCAACACTAAGTTCAGACGAATGCAATTATTTCCCAGTACAAATTACGGTTACACCACACCAGACAGCGCGCAACAGCACCGCGTCCGTACTAAACATGTGTTTTACATGAATTGTCATCAGCACGGTTGTAGACTGCTATAAGTGGGGTTCAACTCTTATTTGTAAACGCCCCATATCATAAGCTTAACTCTTGTCACCTAAACATAGGCTTACAATGATTATCGCAATTACGAGCTTATAAGTGATGTTATGTGTATAATATTCCAAATTATTGTTAGGAGTCGGCATCAGGGTTCCGTGGTAAAAGTTCTGATCTACTTTTGTTAGCTAAAAGTACAATACCTCTAATTCCTCAGAATCTTCATTCTCGTCGTTTTCGGCGTCTGACGACTCTCTATCGTGGTTGGTTTCCCGATCGCTTTCTTCCTCTTTCGTAATTTCGGGTGGAGGCGGTGGGATGAATACCGGCTGGGGACAATTTTTTTCTGTTTATGTCCATTTTTTTTTCATAATATTAAACACAAGACAAAAACTCGGTTTTTTTATAGCGGCACAGCGTTGTATAGAACCTACTCCGCGTCTCGCCTAATTTAATGAGTATCAATGCTAAAAATCTACTCTGTTTTAGAACTTCACGGTGTTATTTAGACAGGCAAGCGAGTTATTTGACCAGTTTCAAACTAGGTGAATCAGTACTAGAGTAATCTGGGGTACACTAGATAGAAAAGATCAGATTATATAAGCGAGTAATTTGTCTACTTAAGAGTCGATACTACCTCAGCTCGAATTAAAGTTTTTCCCGTACTGAATCGGTTCCATTGCGCGTGTCCAGCGGCAGGGACACTTTATTTCAGAATTAATTTTTTTACAAACGAAATTAAAGTCATTTGAAAAATGTACATCGTATACTATGCGTGTTCTATTTAGTTCAGTTGATATGAAAAAAAAAATTGGTATATGTAAAGTACCTGTTGAGTACAGCGGCTTTCTTAAAAAATTTTGAGGTAAGTTTGTTTTTTTTTCTATCGTGAAAATTTTTAGGAATCGTCTTTTCGCACCGTATACTAATTAGTGTATATCCTCAATTTTGCTTTACATTTTTTCCAAAGTGATTGATTCAACATTTTCACTGTTATGTGGAATCAAACTAAGCCATTTGAGGATGTATCGACTCTTAAGCCAGACAATTCTGATCTAAGGTACTATTCTCAATCTAATAGTGACTCACTCTAGGTGGTTCCATAGCAGGTGTAGGCACAGGCGGCGACAGCGGTAGACCGTTAGTAGTAGGCGTTTCTTTCTGCGTGACGGTCTCAGGCGAGCGACCGGCGAGCAGCTTATGTGCCTTGGCCTTAAGCTCCTTTGGATGTGGCGTGTTTTGACGGACGAACGGAGTCTGTGAAGACAAAATATATTAGTCTATTGACACAGTGTAAAGAAGAATCTAAAAATTTCTAGAACAAGGACCATAACGAAAGTCGCATCATATAAATTATCTCGTGTATCTAATCAGCTTACTCATCAATATTAGATCTCGATAGCACAAGTCTTTTACTGATTTATGACAATTTATTTGAAGTTACTATAAAATGCAACACATTCGAATGATCCTTATCGGACTATAACAAAATTTTATTTTATGTACGTCTTGATACATCAAAAATACATGCGCATGCTTCGTTATTATTAAATTTAAAATAGAACTTCAAAAATCTAAAAAAATGTTCATACATTAAATGAGATATTGCAGAAGCATTTTACATTTTCTAAAAGAAATAAATGTGCTTTTTATTAGTAAAAAATATAAAATAGTGCTTATAATAATAAGTTAATGTTTAATAAAGTAAATTTACAAATTTTTCGATACGTCAAGCTACTCAAATCAAAAAGATTGTCAATTCTACAAGATGTCCTAGTAAGTATATAAAGTCGAAAAAACTCTTCGTACTACGTCTCAATAAACATAGACGAAACATACAACTTATACGTGTAAGTGTGTGGGCTGTGTCTATCACCTATGTACCTAATTATGATGGTTCCATACACATGTCAAAGTTACATAACTTAGAAGCTAAAGAATAACTCCGTATTTTATAACGCGTAAAAAATAAACTTCAACTTATTGATTGAACACAACGAGTATGGCTTTCGTGGCATCTACTGAAATTGCATAATCTACAAACGGAATAACTTGGCCGTTCCTCGACCGATAGGCATGAAATTGTAAACTATTAGTATAGGCCTATAGCTTAACTGATTCGGTTCCTAAGGTACGTTCCTGAGTGACAGTTTACGTAAAAGTTATGTCGCGCTGCACACGGGATAACTTCAACAAGATTTTTCTGATGATACTCGATAGTTATTTGATTGAAAAAAATGCCAACCAAATTAGTCAATTGTTGTTATGTGAAATAATAATACTAAAAAAACTATTTCATTGATTTTCTTTAATGAACTTGTTATTAAATATCGTCAGAAAAATCTTGTTGAAGTTATACCGTGTGCAGCGCGACATAACTGTTACGTAAACTGTCACTCCTCCCGCACCGCGCAACTACCTCAGGAACCAACTCAAGTTAAGCGGTAGGCTTGTACAATACAATTCTACAAGTCGTGGTAAAAGTCAAATTTTTAATTTCGGTCAGTGACCAGAGAGAGATTAAGTCAAAGGTAACCATGTTAGGTCTAAGGGGAAGGATACAACTGCAAAAAATTGCGCTCGCAAATATGCAGAACTGTGAAAAAAAGTTCAGAAAGACTGTTGCGTTTCGGCAGGGAATCGACATTCCACCTTACAAAGTAAAAAGTGTTAAGAAACGTATGTTTCAAACACTAAACACTACAACAAAAGAGTACCCATAATTGCCATATCACATAAATAAACAAGCGAAAATAACATACACGGAATACAAATGCAATGCTTTTGAAACAGATCAAAAATGCTAACATTATTCGTTATAAGAAAACGCGAAACCCCAAAACAGACATAGCATTAAGATCAAGAGTATAATAATTGTCACTTAACCTAATAAATTAAGAGCATGTTCGTTAAGTCAAGAGGTGGATGATTCAATGCCCCATGATATCACATCACACGCATTTGCGCTGGGGTAACATAACGATGTGCTTGTCTAATCTACCAGTGTAACTCAAATTGTGAGAGATTCGACACTACGTGCAAGACACAAGGTACAATTTGCATTATTTTCTTTTTGAAAGCTTCGATTTTATAAAGAAAATCAAAACAAAGCAAGAGTTACAGCAAATAATTCCACATCTATATTAATTTTATTATTTTTGTAATGGACAAAAAGATTTTCTTTACCTTATTTACCCCGTATTTCTCTGAAAATATATTTTGAGCCAGGCCTAATTAACATAACCATTTATATTGTACGATATATATTTCTTAAATATATATTATTTTAGTTTGTGAAATTGTACGCGGAGTAAAAAGGCAAGAAGATACATTATGCATGTTATTCTGTTGTTATACTGTTTCAGATAAAAACTGTGCAAGGTAACTAAGATATTCGTGCATTGGTCTTTAGACCATGCCTGAACGGGAATAAAGATGTGATTATTGTGTAAGTATGTACGCATGTCAGTGTATTAGGGCCAGATAAATTTTATTACATAGTTAAAATTAAAAACAAATATGCTATCTATATACACTGCATTATTCTACGTTCAGCGAAACAAAAACTAGTCTAATCAAACTCTTAAATGCGGAGAGCAAGGCGTACGAATGCTCTTGGATGCAATCACAATTACACAATGCTTTTATTTACTAAATCAAATTCATGTAATATCGCGCCCTCGAAAGATATGTAAATCCAAAATATTTTCCACATTTCAAAACGGAGTTTATTATCCGTGTTATCTGTTATCTACTGTTTGTTTTCATTAAGACATTACCGTGAACACTGCTCTTAGTTTGCATGACTTAACAGAGATAAGGTGCAAAGCTAATTTCAGCAAAACAGTGTGTTTTTTTCATAGTATATTTACAGTTTAAATTGATGGTTCATCACTGTTCGAATCGTAAAAAGTAACAACGAAAAAATCTGGAATCTGAGGAATTGATTTTAAAAAGTTAAAAGCGAAGTCAAGTACAGCCAATAATTTATCTTGGGCAAGGAATACATTATATAACAATTCATGGTGTATTATTTATACAGTTCCTTCGCTAAAAACTGTATTTTGTGATTACATCGTAAACCATTTTCAACAGTCTTTTCGCAAGATAAAAATCTTTTTTTATGGGCGCATGCAGATACTTCTTTAATTTAGGTAAAAATAGGAAAAAATACTTTTTTACTTATGTACTATTTTTGAGTTGGGTCAGTGTTGAAGTTGGTTTGCAATCTCTACTTAAATACCAGGGAATGTAATAGGTAGGTACACACCCACTACTGAAACCACCATCACAGTAAATAAGCTAAATTTAGTTATTATTTAACGGTGGATAACACGTAAGGTAAATATTTTTAACTTGTGATTGTATCCAAAAGATAGCGCATACCTCCGCGAGGTTAGTAATAGAGGAGGAGAGCCGTTGTAGGGAGCTCCTCCGCTGTGTGGCGACTAGCTTGCGGACTACGTTTATAGGGCGTCGCAGCCCTAGCAAGGACGGCGCTGAGGATTCAGATGGTGTCGCGTCCTCGTCCTCCTGAATTGACGTCACCTTGAAACCAAACAACCCCTGATGGCAAACCGCAATGCTCATCGTTTTGTTAAATATATCCTTGCAATATACACCAGTTAATAATAATCTAGTAGTGTATGTTAATAGCTGCAGGATGTGTTTTTGTCTTAGGGCAACAACCAAAATGTCAGCCTACAATAATAAACTGCAAAAGGTTTCTACTGCTATTCTAACTCTATTTTATTATCACTTTTCAATACCGTCACTTTTATTTAACTACTAATATAAGTGTGAGAACTTTTCAGAGAACAGAATTTGGAAACGCAACGTTGGATACCAAATATCAACTTAGATTATACTTCAAAGCAGGTTTCGAAGTGATCATAATAATGATAACTTATATTGGAACAACGAAATGCTGCCGCTAGCAATGTCGTGCCATGTGTTTGTATCAGACGTATCCAAACGTATCAAACTTCAATCTAAAAATGTTGCAAACCAAACTGTTTTCCCAAACATTTTTCTTCGTGTTTATTTATTTAAACACTTTATTGTACCACAAAGTAACTTACAAATTTTCAGAAAGTTTTATTTAGTTTTCTAACTGATGGATGGATAAATTATCGGATATATACAAAATATATTATATCAGATAATTGTTATGATAATTTTCAAAGAAAATAAATATCTTGATAATTTCGAACCCCGCTTCAAAGTGTTATTTACACAAATTAGAAAATAAAGAAATTACAAACTGTCTAATAAATTATTTCATTTGTGTGTTTTATAATTTTGTACTCTTCCGGAATATTACTTTATCTTATCAATGGTTAAACAAAAAATTGCTTGTGAAATGTCACAAGTGGACAGAATTATTTTCTAAAGTCAAAGTTTCATAGTCGTCAATTTTCGTAAACAAACAGGTCCAAACTATGAGCATAAATAAACAATAATATCATTGGGTCCAAAGACCAAAGTTTAGAAAGTATCTGTCATGTGAGATTTAACATATTTTTTAATGTTTATCTTTTACCCGCACTAGGACCACATACAAGGCTATTTAAAACTTATTATTAATCTTATGACTGTCTCGGTGGCTCCACGGTTTGCACTGGATGTTGAATGAGGAGGTCCCGGGTTCAATTTGCTGTAGGACTAGTTTGGAAATGAACTTTTCTAAATTGATTCTGGTCTGGAGCTCTGGGGCACTTCCCAGAATACTGGGAAGTGCCCCCGAGCGAATTCATATTACACGAATATTATTATTTCGTAAGCAATTCACCAATTGTATTAAAATAGTCAAATTAATTAAATTATTGGTGGCATATTCTATATTTCTGATCGTAATCGATAGATCGGAGCGTGTACGCATGATCGAACCAAATGGTATAGTATGATTACGGTAATACCTGGTAATTATTATTTTTATATCACCATCATATTGATGCGTGAAAATTCCTATAAAATAATGGAGATTGTCTTACCGAACAATTAAATAGGTACAGTAACACTGGGCCTATTCCACTAGTCCCTACAATGGGTACAATGGACATTACGCGGGACACATACATTTTAGGCGAAACATATTGCATTAATACACCATCATTTTTCTACTTTTAAATTCATTTTGAAAACTAGATGGAGAAGGTATGGCTTTACGTTCCTCGATTCTGTTGGTGTGCTCCAGCAAGGGGTGTATTTTGAATAATATTTTTACAAGTAACTGATTAATTTAATTGGATTTTTAAAGAACAATGGCCAACTGGCAAATAAATTTTTGTTGACATAACTTGTATGCGTCTGTTTATGAAGAATATGTAAAGATATAGAGTTTGAATTCCAGAACATATTTTTTGGGTTTACTATTCCGAGAAACCCGGAACTGAAGATATTCCAGTTAGAAATTTTGGAGGTTATGTTTTACAATGTATAATTGAATAAAATATATTCTGTGTATTATTATATCAAAATAAACTACAGAAGCCTTAAACAGAGTTAATAGGAGCTGAATGGTGCCGTGGGTTTGTGACGTGACGACAGATCAGAGGAAATTATTCTATACATATAACTGTATGGTCAAAAAGCATGAAGTCAAGCCATAACAAAAGAAAACTGAGTTAATATATTACTGGTAACCCGGTCTTAAATTTATTTTTTCTTAAACGTGCCATCTATCCCCGATATCGGGAACTTTTTTGTCAGCGTTACAAGTTGTTTGCGTGGCATATTTCGAGAAGGATATACTTACCTACTTACTTTTTGTAATAAGTAATAATCTTTTATTGCAAATCGGTCGAATCAGTAAGTTTGATATTACGTGAACTCACGTAATGTGGACCTAGCTATACGTAAGTAATGAAAATCTTTTTTTGGCGGCTAGATATCGCTCCACTTTACGAAACTAAGAAACTGACAGTTGTAGATATCAGTTCGGTTACATACAATTAGTCATTCGAGTTTCTTTTAAATATGATTTTATTTCCAGACTTAGATACACCTTTAGTATAATTTGTAAAAACTTAACGAATTTATTTTATTCAAACTTGTAATTATGACATTTGAAAACGCTAAAGAATTCTTTAAACAATGATTTCGCCATTGTTCTTTACTGAGTTTAAGTACAAAGTGAATATTGTTTTAAAACAGATATTGATAGGTGTTTTTCCACCACTAGGCTGAATATCACAAGTTGTGTCAGTTTCAAAAATATAATTTACGAGCATTCATGCATTTATTCTTTTTTTTTATGATACCAAGCGATGGGACGAACAAGTCGTGCGCCTAGTGGAAGGCGACACGCCTGTTGCAGTGCTGCTCAGAGCTTCAAATCGCAAAGCTTTGAGAGGCACTGTCACTCCACCCGTCACCCTGAGACATAAGTTGAAAGTCCCATGTGCCTGTAATTTCACGAGCAACCTTACGCTTCAATACCAAAACTCCGTAATACCCAGATTATAAGCTGGCAGTACTTCTCTGGACGAACTCTGTCACAAGGAGCTCTACTACTACTGAATTCGATAGTAAGTACACGGTTCAAACGTACAATGTCCGCTTTAAATAGAAACTCGTGCACTGGTACATTATTATTACCTTTTTGGAACAAAAAAGGAAATAAAATGTAATTATCATAACAAGGATTTCTGTAATGACAAAAATCATGTGGTATTCACATCAGTCTGTCAATTACGTAAAAAAGTCAGAAGAAGAATAAACGCCATAATATGTTTACACAGTGATTAAGAAGAAATAATGCAAAACAAAAAATAAAAGAATAGTAATAAAATATATGATTTTATTAAATAAATCCGAGTAAAGAAACAAAATGTGTAAAATTTGCTTTCTTATAACTAAATAATACTGATATCGCAATATTAAGCAAAATATGACTTAAAAAGATACCATGAAAATTCTAGAAACTTTTTTTAAATTTTAGATTTATCCTAAAACATTAGAATTTTATATATGTATGTATAAATGATTCCATGCAAATTAAAGCATTACGATAATATACATTTTAGAAAAGATCAGGAGATTAATGCTTATGTATAACTGTAATATAAATTTTTCAATGAATATCAAAATCAATAAATACAAATTATAATTTATTGAGTTCTTAGGTTTTCGCGATTGTTACACATAGGAAATGAAACTATTTTTCCGAATTTAAATCGTGTATATTTGTTTTTTTTTTTTTCAAATAAACCGACGTTTCCGGCCCTTTACAGGTCCCATCAGTCAACCGTGACCATAGGACCTGTAAAGAGCCGGAAAAGTCGGTTTGTTTGACAAAACAAATATACGCGATTTGAATCCGGAAAAACAAATTATAATTACTGCTAAATAACCGCAATTTAGTGCACAATTACTTATATTAAAAAAATGTATCTCGAATAGAGTTACCTTTTATAGTGCGTAGTATATTACTCCAATGCTACTACAAGAGAACTGAGTGCTAAATAAGCTCTGTGACTTGTACACCATTCGAGTACATTTTTTCTGACCCATGTGTTTGCTTTCCTACATTTATCTCTAGCCGTCACACCAGCATTGTGGAAGCATATTGGTACATCACAGCGTAAAGACTTGTAAGCAAATCTGGGGAACGTTCTTACAGACACCGCACCACCATAGAACAAATGACAACATAAGCTCACCTCTTTCGCTTCGGGAATCTCTTCTGTAAATTTGACGGAGTGTGTGCGAGACGCCTCCTTTTCTTCCCAATCGTCGTTGTCGGAGTCCCGGTCACGGGGTATCGAAGATTCTGCAAAATTAAAATTGCTTTACTATTACAGACACATCTGCAGTGTTTCAGGAAATAAAATGAACTGTACAAGTAGAGCATCTCCAGTCTGGAACGTTATAACTTTTTTGGCAGGCTTTGAAGCTACGCTGAACAGTTGCAGCGAAGCCTACTTTTAACAGTTATTTCGTAAAGTTTGGCCCCAAGCCAAGTTACACTACATTATAATGGGTGATCAAATCGCGTATGGCTATTGTATAGTTTGTTAATAATAGTGAGAAAGTGGCATTGACCGTAACACACACATACAACACTAGACAAACAATTGACATCAAAATATGTAGCAAAACAATTAATATTTTGTTTACAAATACTCAAATTCGGATTCTAAGAAGTGTCTACAGGACCGCTGTATATAGAGCTTATCAAACCTTAAAGGAATATACAACGCTACCAATCGCAAATACAAAAAAGGTGTAGTATGATACAGTGCATTCAAATGTAAAGATAGTAGGTAAATAAATAAAGGTGGAACCACAAAATTCGTGAATTGTGTGCTATCTATGTTCATGTTCTGTGTCTAAATTACAAACACTTATCTTAAGATTGTGTAGGTTTGGCATTAAATATCTTGATCATAATGAATAAAAAGCATGTGCGAAATGATGACGTGTTATTGTTGAGCAAATGTTCATATTCATTGGAAAATCAATAGAACGCCAAAACGTACGGTTTTAGGCCCACCAATATATATACAGACGATTCTTTGTTTCGATCGATCGTCACTATAATTGTATCGATCCACCGCCATACTCTCCGGCTTACAAGTAAATCGTTAACGACATTAACGTACAATATCGATTCGTCGTTTCGATCTATCTGACAACTCGTTCCCGTATGGGGGCCTTTAGGCCGCATGCAATTAACCGACCTCCACAATTTATATTAGCTCAATGGTCTATCCACATAGTGGTCAACACATTACATGGGAATCTATTTTACCCATCGCTTGTCAGTCAAGTGAGTTATATGGCCTAGCCACTAGTATTTCAAGTTATTGCATTCATCTATTTCCAACTCAATAGCGTTAAAAAAAATGTGATGCGAGTAAAAAAAGAAATATGTGAGAAAAATAGTAAGTTCTGGTATGGACATAGTCTTGCCTGCCGCCGACATACGTAACAATATGAATATTGGTTTTATGTAGCTAAGAAAGATTATTTGAGCAAAGTTATGCTCAAACAATCATAGCTCGTCAAGCGAAAACCTTTGAAAACATCGTATTCACTGTGATAAAGATATTTACAGCGACCTATTTGCATTGTAAGCTTGTACGATAAAGGAAAATGAGCGAACCTTACCTCTGATTCTGTCTAGTTCCTGCGATTGTGAATTAAACCTGTGATCCCTGAACCAGTGTCCACTGCCGACCTCTGCAGTGTGTTCCAGCTCTATTTGTGTGTGAGAAGTGTTCAAAAGTGGCATTTAGTATGTACACGGCAAAAACAAAATACTAATCTGCGACTGTTCACCTGCATACATAGTTTTTTTTTTTGCAGTCTATATGATTTCTATGCGTCACAAGAAGTTTAGTACTTTACTAGCAAACAAGAAGGAAATATTATTTAAATGCATCTTGACTATTTGACATTCTCTACTTTTTTTGGAGAACCCAAATTAGTGTTGTATTACTAAGGATTATGTCATGGACATTTTTATTTGGTTTCATTAAAGATGCATGTGAACATTCACAAAAAAAGTCGCAGAATTAAACAGAAAAGCACAAGAAGCATATGCAAGGACGTTTACACCATATGCTCACAGTGACATTAAAACAAACATTCAGCATACACACTAAGCGAAGATTTACAACGCCATTATACTTTTATAACATTCTTATGATTTACGTTTACGACTGTCTTTGAAATCCGAATGAAATCTTTAAGTCTGTCCTTGGAGCAATAAAAAGTAAGAAGATACTAAATAGAGAAAAGGTTTATGCATATACATTACAATTTAAAAAAAGGGCACGTCCACAACAAAATACGTTCATCCCAATATACAAAAAACAATGGCTGTATGGTTAATATTGCAAGATCGCTTATTTACGTCAATCATCATGTTTTTTTTCTCTTCTTTATTGTGTGTAATCATCATTTAACCGAAGGTTAGCCCTTAAAAAATATATTTTTTTTTTAATATAAAATAAATGCGCATTTGACCTCCATCCTCTCCTCCTTTTCTTTGTATAAATTAGAAGTACGCACTGTCAAGGCCACAGTCAAGTAACAGTATAGGCATAGTAATGGGACGAAAAGTTGTCGCGTTCAAAATGCAAATGAATATTAACAGTACAGCCACTATTCTAAAGAAATTGTAAGAAGAAATTGCATAGAACACCAAAAGCAATATATCAACATGTGATAAATACGTACCTGGTTGCTGTGTATAGCTAAGCTGTGGCAGCAGGAAGCACGTGAGAACGTTTTCGCCGGTAATCTCGTCGCGGTCAGTCTGGAAGGTCAATAATGGCTGGGCCTGGTTTTCTGACAGCCAAACCGCTTTTAATTCCAGGTTTACTAATGTGTACGGTAAGTACTGAAGCCTGGAATATCAATAGTTTTTTTTAATACGCCACAATAATATTCAAAAATAGTAGATAGTATGTCGGGTAGTAGTAGGATATCGTCAGAGATAATTACGCGTAACTAGCGTTTGATTATGAGTTTCTATTTCTTTAATTTAGTGGCCAAATCGATAAATTCGCGTAAATATCATGGCAACCAAATCAGCGTGATTTTAGGGTATCTATTGTTATCAATCCGTAGACAACTGCCTCCGTGGCCGAACGGTTACCATGCCGGACTGTCACGCAGAGGTCCCAGGTTCGAATTTCGGGCCGGGTGAAATATTCGTATGGCCTACATTTATTTCTCTCGTGAGTTTGGGTGTAAATTGTGGTTGTCTATGTGTGTGTCCATGGCACCCGCGACCCGGGACCACTGACTAGTGCGGGACTATGTTGAGTGTGTGTGTCGTTATTAAAATAAAACAAATAAATAACTTAATTCAATTCTTACTGTGCAAAAATGAAAGTATAGCCATTGAAATAACAAAATAATAACGTTAAATCCCTCTCCTGTGAAATCTGATATAATGCAGATACGCGCTTTTTACCTATACTTCTACATACGCGGATTTGCACTATCCCCGACGATATGGTGAATTGTGATTTGATGTGGGAATGTTTAATAAACGAAAATTTAAAAAAGCCGGCCAGTAACTACAATTACCTGTTGCCACTAACATCTAAGACGTGCAGTGATTTGCAGTTGCCCAACTCATTCGGCAGTCTTGTCAACTTGTTATCCCGTAAGCTCAAAACACCGAGCAGCATCATGTTCCCGATCTCCACCGGTATATCAGCCAATGAATTCCTATCTACGTTCAGTACGGTCAACTTATTGAGATTCCCTATCGACTTGGGCAGTTCCATTAAGAAATTCTCCGTTAATATAAGCTCTTGTAGATTTGTACACCTGGAACAGAGATATAGAAAAATAAGATAGAAATAGCGTAAGACAAACTAACAAAATTAAATATCTTAAGCCGAACAGTCTACCAACCTTCCTACATTTTCATTTAACGTATGTAATCTATTTTGGTCCAACTTCAGTATAGCTAACTTTGATAGATCACCGGTGCCTCTTGGTACCGTTTCTAGCATGTTTTGGGAGAGGTGGAGGTCAGTCAGCGAGCACAAGCCCCCGATTTCTTCTGGAATTTTCTCCAGTTTGTTTTCGCTGACGTCGAGACAAACTAAAGCCTTTAAATTGCCGATTTCCGGCGGCAAATACTGTAGTTTGTTGTGGTCCAACCACAGTTCTTCGAGCGCTGGCAGTTCTCCGATGAATCCCGGCTGAAAATAACAACGTTATCGGGTTAAAAGGTTTGCTTTCGTAGATAAATAATACCTCTCACAGTTTTATCAACTTTATAGGCAACTTGGATATTATTGGAGCACAGTTATTACAGAAAGAAACTTTTGTAACATAATAAACAGTCAGTATTCATGAGAATTCTTACCAGTTCTTCGATCTCATTATCACCCAAATCCAATCGTTCTAGCTTAGTCAGATTCTTGAGTGACTCCGGCAACGACTTCAGCAGATTTTCTCTCAGTTCCAACGATTGTAGAGACACCAAGCTGAAAATAGAGGCACCATGTTATTAACAAACTTCTCAAGAAATTCACTATGTTTCACACGGTGCAACCTTCAAATAGTATGACATAACAATTTGATGAGACAAGTCAGCGAGGTGGAAACACAATAAAATTACTGTTGTGCAGACTAACTCTTCGCATAACTGCAGCGATGCAGCAAGGTTAAATAAAACTATTTGCTGAGTTTACATGTCTAAAAGTAGAAAAAAATCAGTCAAAAATATTCCGTGCTAAATGTAGTCGCACTAATCAAGAATTTTTATTTAGTTATTGTGGTTTAAAGAAGAGAAATGAAGTTTTATTTACGAAACTGCTCCGGAAAGAGAAGCCTTACTCGTACTTTTTTATATCAAATTACTTTCCCATTCGCTCTGGCAACGAGATTTTTCCTTATTGACTTAGGGGTTGGCTGGTGTAAAGCGAAAGTATATTAAAAGCATAATACTCTCTTGCGTAGAAATAAATTTTCCAGTAGGTCGAAATTATCGTTGAATAAACATAAGAATTATCATTATAAATGTATAAGGTTTATTTTTTATTTTCAAATAATAATGAAAGCTCCAGAATATTCTCGCTCAAACAGGATTATTAACCGGAATGAATGGTAGCTTCCGTTAGAAGCGAACGCATGAATATGAACATTACAAAAGTTACGACTTATGACACTGACTTTATTCCCGTTAACTGTGTGTGTGTATATATATATATATATATATATATACATATATATATATATGACATTGACTTTACATTGGGCAATGTTTAGCTTAGAGCATAAAAGTAAAGGCTCATAATGAATAGTGATTTTATTGAATGTCAAATTGAATCAACGGCGTAAAATACTAAGCTATATTGTAAAAACAATATATATTAATATAAAACAGTAAACATATAGCTTAATAATACAAAATGGTTTCATTTACCATGAGCTTGGTGAACGAAAACATCGTGATGAAACCTGCACGTCGAAGAAGGTTCATAACCCTTGGAAAACCAGTGAAGTTCCCAAACCGCATTTGTTCAGCGTACGGACTATGGCCTAACCCTCATCTGAGAGGAGAACTGTGCCCGGAATGTTTGACGTATAAATGGGTTGATGATGATGATGATGATATAAAAACGATATCTAGCAATTTTTTTACACCAAAACATCGTTTTCATAATTAAAACAGTGTCTTAGCCTGTTCACCTAATCATATAAAAAGTTTAACTGGCAGCAGTTCGCATTCCATGACTAGAGCATCCACAGAAAAAAACTGCGTGGAACGTGGCGCATTACCTCTACCAGTTACCTTTATAATAATTGTATCAAACTGGTTATGCGACGTTGCCATTTTACAAATAACTACACGAGTACTTTATCTCGTTATATTTGTTTTGTGAATAATAAGAATCCTCTTATAGATTATAATTGTTTTTATAAACTGTTTATAGTAACTTCATTTCTGTACATAATTTTAAAACATAAATATTTCTGAAACTGTTTTCGGCTTGTCCGTTGATTATATGAACACTAACAAGTCGACACATAGAAAAGGTGTCGATATGAATACCCGTAATCATGTAACTGATAAGAAGCTCTAGAATCAAGCGCAGATTGTTGGTTTTTAAGGTTTATATATTGGGCTCAAGGTCCCCCGTTAATTTTAAAAAATATAGAACAGATTGGAAGATAAACGAGATTGCTTCAGTGAATTTTAACAAAACGTTCAATTTGTCGCAATAACTTTGAGTAAGCCCCGGAACTTTTTCAAAATTTCAAAATTTAATGAATTTTGAAATTTATACTTTACTGTATCAAATATCTGTAGTAAAAATGTTCGTCGTGGACATGAAATAACATACGCACAGAAAATGTTGAATACATAAAGATGATTAGGCAAGTATAGGTGTGCGTTGCATATGTAAAGCCGCCATTGTGTTATGTAAAAACAGTATTGTTTACTGATAATACGCCGTGAGTGCCTCATGTTTAGAGCCTTGAGGCCGCATTCCGTAACAGATGTCAAAGTACTTAGCGCTCGAAATACAATAATCGCAATGAATCATTCAAGTCAGACTAACTTGTTTAAACTAATCATTGTAGCATTACTAATACTGAGCGTTGTTTGGTGTTAGGTGGCCATTTCTGAAAATAACCAGTTTATACCGATTCTGAAGTGATTTATGGTAATATTAAACCTCAACAATAAAAAAAAATATCTTACTACCAGAAAGTAGGTTTATTGTCAATAATAAAAAAAAACCATTTAGACTTAAACAAGACGACACTTAATTGTCGATTAAATCGTAACGGAACACATTAATTAACGCGTATAAAAACAGCAGGTGCTATGCCGTTTACAATGAAGCAGCATCTTTTACACGAACGAAAAACGGAGTCTTAATGTAGGTCAAGCAATGATAAGAAACTAATTTATTGATCTTTTTACTGTATCAAAAATAACACTAATTTATACCATCTAAGAATTTTAAGTTGAATTTTTAGTCTTTTTTAATATAAGAGGCCGTATAGGAGCGTTGCCGTTGCGTTATAGATGCCGCCGCAGAATAACGGCCGCTTTGTTTTTATCAATTTTCTTTTCATAAAACTGCGTCACTAAGAGTCGTATTCTAGAACTGTACTCAATGCTCAAGTCAGGATTTGAGCAGACTTGAGTATGATTTCAAGCACTGGAAATACAACCCTAATGGCAAGGATTTGAGTATGATTTCTAGTGCTTTAAATCATACTCAGATCCTGACTTGAGCATTGAGTAGAGTTCTGGAATACGACTCTCAGTGTTGTTTTATGTCATTCTCGTTAGAGTAGGACCTTCCCCCGTAGCATGGCTATGCATGATAGTCGCGACGCGCGCGATAAAATTGAAATAAACGCGCCTTATTGGCTATCTAAATTAGATCTGATTGAGACAGCCAATAACGCGCGCTAATTACAATTTTATCGCGCGCGTCGCGACTATCACGCGTAGCCATACTACGGGGGCTGATTTCGTTTCCGTATATATAGTAGAAAGCGATACAAATATAAAGGCCAATATACACTACATTTGCGTTTTAGATTATACATCCACATACGTAGTCACGACAACAATAAATTAACACATTTGTATGTTTGCTTGAAAAATACATGTCTTAAAAAAAATTATTAGATTATGTTTCCAACTGGACTATTATGGACCTTATAAATACCAGGCTATTTAATCTAAAAAAATACCTCCACGAATCTTTAAAAATATGGTAATATTTTTGTACATACACCAAGTCTTACACTGTTAAACTAACATAATGTCGCTCATGCCGTTCAACAAAGGTATAATTGCCCTTTTTTACATTTTCCAAAAAAGCTGTGTATATTTAACATTTGCACCTCCATTTTGGTCAATCTTCCAACCACATTCCAACGATACTCACGTCATATTTCGATCGTTATTAAAACTACATTACAATCATTCTATCTTTTTTTATGATACCAAATGACGGGACAAACAAGTCGTACGCCTGATGGAAAGCGGCATGCCTGTCCATAATAGTTGCAGTGCCGCTCAGAGCTTTAAATCGGAAAGATCTGAGGGGCACTACCGCTGCGCCTGTCACCTAGAGACACAAGTTGAAAAGTTCCATGTGCCTGTAACCTCACCAGTATCCGCACCCTTCAAAATCGAAACCGCATTCTGCTTGGTGGCTGAAATAGGTAAAGCGACAGAACTTCCCTGGACGAACTCTTTCACAAAGAGCTCTACTGTTGCTCTATCTCTTACACGTGACTATATTTTCGGAGAATTATGCCATTATTAACTTAGCTAAGTAAATTTTTCCAAATGTTACACTGCAAGGGCAATATTATAAAATACCTTATTTTTTAATAAACAAGATACATAATGTCATAAGTCATGATTATTAACAGTTACGAAAAATCTACGGAACCAAGAACGTCTCATGGGTCACTTCCAAAGGAAATCACTTGATCTGAAAACTTGTAGGGAAAGTTGTAAATATTTATGAAATTCGGATTTAGATAATGTAAAAGTTTCAAGGTAATTTCTGGGTAAAAACGGGATTTTAAATATATGTACGAAATTTGGTGGCACAAAACCCGGTGTAAATATGATATAAATCGGTGTCAATCGCGACTAGACGCAGGCTGGGGTTCCATCCCTATGTTGTGGATATTTCGACGATTCGCACGAAGTGTTTCGCTTCCACATGTATATGGCGAGCGGCTAGATAGTGGATTCCCTATCTGCGGACTTTATGACCCTAAAGCTATAACTTGAACCTCTTCAAGGCGAGAGTGAATAGGCATTATTAAGGTATGCATGTTACATCGTCAACCTCATCGTCACTTTCCATCAGGTGAGATGGAGGTCAAATGCGCACTTATATTTGCATAAAAAAAAGAAGCTAATAAGTAATGTAAAATGTATTGCCCAAAATCGATCTTGGTGTAGCAGTTGTGGTCTTGTTCTTGCACTTTTGCAACACCATCTATTTGTAGCAAGACCAAGACCAACACAAAAGAACAGACCTTGCAAGATTTGAGCAAGAACAAGACTGAGTCTGCGAGACTCTAGTGTCTCACAGCTACGTCAAAGTCATATATGGGCATTAAGTATTGATGTATTTGGTTTCAAATTAGTATTACTCTAGATAGACGTGCTCTACAACACCGGTACTAAAACCACGGCTTCTTCTAACAACAAAGGAGTAAGTAGTTTTTAATTCGCATAAAATAATGAGTACAGTGATAAAAGTATGGCAAAAAAATTTGTAAGTCAATGCAAAAAACAAAACAAGGACTAGCACATTTAGCGAGTTACCAACAATAACATACACCGGCAATCGAAAAACTAACTAACTAACCGAGCCGCAAGAGGTGCGGCGCTCTCTCGAATGGGTCATACTTTGTACCCCTGACAAACGCTGACTAGTTTTTTTTTCTTTTTTATATAAGTGACAGGACGAACAATTCGTGCGCCTGA